AAAGGAAATTTCGATGGGAAATAATTAGCTCATCCGGACGTTCGGATGGGGTCTTCGAGACGTCCGGATGTGATGTTCAATGGTCACATTTTTTAACCGTTTGACAAACGGCTAGTTAATCGTCCGGATAACAAGCGAACGTCCGAATCACTTGTCTGGATCTCTTGATTGATGGCTGTAAATACCTCTCTTTATACCTCTTTTAAGACAAGTTTTTTTAGAACATTAAAGTGAGTTATTTATTGATCTTATCTACCTTGTTTTTCAATCTTTAAGAGATCAAAATATTTATTTGTTGAAAATTTTTTTGAGTGAGTAACTTTTTGAAAAATCATATATCTCAATAAAAGTTTTCCACACAACACTTGAGCTATATTCTTTGTGATTTATTGAAGTGTTTGTGCTTAATTCTCTCTTAATATTTAGTTGTGTTCATACCATTTGTTAAGAGAGAAACATTTCAATTGTAACTTTGATTTTCTTGTGGGTCGAGTTGAGGTCCTGAAAAACTCAATGTGTAAAAGGATCGATACTCCTTAGTTGTAAGTCACTGAAAGTATTGTAAGGATTGGATTGCACCATAAGTCAATCAAAGATAGTGAAAAAGGCCTTGCTCATGACAGAGAGCTTGGTAAGGGGGGACGTAGATCGTGATTGGATCGAACCTCCTTATTATATCGTTTGTACTCTCTTTTCCCTTCCTCTTATTACTTTTGTGTTGTCTTATTTATTCATAGTTATTTGCTTAAATTTGCGTTTATTTTAGAAAAAGTTTCAAATAACCAATTCACCCCCTCTTGTTTAGGTATTCTTGGACTTTCAAAGCCTACTACCACTTGGATCGAACTAGGGGAACATAATGGTTGGTATAGGAGATGATCGAACACACACTTGGGGTCGGGCATTTTCTAATTCATGTGGGGACCTGCGCACTTTGTGAGGGTAGGTCACCCCGCATTTCAAACAATTTCGAGTAAAGTGACATTTTCCATTACAACTTGCTAGAACGATGTGAGCATCCTAGACTTGTGATGATCACCCTAGAACTGAAGTGAAGGCTCTAGTACTCAACCATATTAGAGTTAATTGTTCCAATGTTCATTAAACTTAGATTCATATATTTGATTGGTCACTGAAGTTTAAAATGTCCAATTTTAGTCACTGAACTTATGTCAATATCTTTGATTGCTTACTGAACTTAAGTCCATGTCTTAGATTGCTCATTGAAGTTTAAAATATCGAGTTTTGACCACTAAATTTTGGAATATGCCATACGTAAACATCTACATGTTTAGTTCTCTCGTGAAACATGAGGTTTTTACGCACTTTGATAATCAATAGAAATATGCAATTCATTTTTTTTATAAACCTTAGTTCATGTAACAACCCTCTCGACCACAATCCCTCCTTATCTGCATCACAAAGAGCTATATACCGTGTCTCTGTAGATGACTATGTGACCAACTTTTGAAGCTGATATTTCCAGCTCATACATGCACCACACAAGGTGAATATGTATGCAACCTTTTATCAATTTCACCTGTCAAATCTAAATCCGTATACCTTTTGCCACCACTATCTTGTCTAAACATCAACCCTAAATCAGATGTCCTCTTTAAATATTGAAGTACCATTTTTATAGAATCCCAATGCAATTTTCCTTAATTTTTTTAATAAATCTACTTAAGACACTTTTACCATAAGCTAGATTTGGTCTTGAACAGACCATTAGATGCATGACAAATCGCACTGCATTAGCATAATGATTTTGTTCATCTTCTCAAATTCCTTTTGTAATTGAGGATATTGATTAGAAGGCAACTTATGACAACTCTCTAAAGGTATTGAAATAGATTTAGCATCTGACATAGAGAATGTATCTTGTATCTTTGTGATACAGGCCTTTTAGTTCAAAAATAAAATATTTTCACTTCTATGCCTCTTTATGTCCATACCTAAAATCCTTCTAGTTTGGCCTCATTCTTTCATTTTAAATTCTATTTTAATAGTTATTTTATGGAATCTATTTCACCCTTGTCATGACGTCATCTACGTAGTGCAACAATAAATTGAATTCAGACCCCATCTTTTATAACAATTAACCTACTTGTACAACACCAAAAGGTGTTGAACACTTACAGCCCCCTCATTGTAGAGGGGGCCCACGCCCATTTTTTTAATCGGCAGCCCTCTCGATGTGAGGGGGCTGTATGTAGCAGGGCTCCTTTTATAAAAGAGACAAGTATCATTACTACTATTTTTAAACCAATCCTTTGAATATATAAAATTGCTTAAATGCTTGTTTCAAACCATATAAAGACATTTTCAAATAACATGATTTTTCTGTCTTTATTATAACTTCAAAGTCATTAGATTGTGACATATAGATAGTTTCTTTTAGATCACTAATAATAATTATTGTCTTTACATTCGGAAAATTTAATTTCCAATTAGTCCTACTTGATGTATACACACGTGAACATATTTCATTAGAGTAGAAGTCTTCTTCCTATACGATCTCCTTAGCCACTAGTCTAACCTTTATCTTTTGTTTTCTATTTAGTATGTTCCTCGTTCATCGTAAAAACCTATTTACAATAAATTATTTTCTGATTTATGTGGGCCCTCAGAATTTATTTGTCCCATAATTCATTGTTGAATATCTATTGGACAATGAGTCATGAAGCCTATTACCACTTGAATCGAGTTAGGGGAATATAATGGTTGGTATAGAAGATGACTGAACATACACACCCGAAGGTCGGGTATTTTTTAATTCATGTGGGACCTGGGCACTTTGTGAGGGTAGTCACCCCGTGTGTCAAAAATTTTCCAGCAAAATGACATTTTTCATTATGACTTACTAGAATGATATGAGCATCCTGGACTTGTGAGGATCACTCTAGAACTTAAGTGAAGGCTCTAGTACTCAATAATATTAGAGTTAATTGTTCCAATGGTCATTAAATTTAGATCCATGTCTTTGATAGGTCACTAAAGTTTAAAATGTTGAGTTTTGATCACTAGACTTAGGTCAATATTTTCGATTGCTCATTGAACTTAGATCCATGTCTTAGATTGCTCATTGAAGTTTAAAATGTCGAGTTTTGACCATTGAACTTTGAAATATGCCGTACGTTACTTCTAGCATAACTGTTGAATTTTGAAAAATATTGAGTTTACAGTGAGTAATGTACAATATTTTTTAAAATTCAACGAGTAATGTACAATATTTTTCAAAATTCAGTGAATAATGTACAATATTTTTCAAAGTTCAGTAGCCAAAACTCGACATTTTAAGCTCCAGTGAGCAATCGAAGATATGGACCTAAGTTCAGTGACCAAAACTCGACATTTTAAACTTCAGTGACCAATTAAAGACATAAATTTAAGTTCGATGACCATTGAAGCAATTAACTCACCATATTAATGATGGATTTTGTTGTACATCGAAATTGTACATTAGGAATTACATAAAAGATGTTGAAGAAAAAGATTAAATGAAAAAATCGACTGTATTTTAAATTGGCATATGATAAAATGTCATGTGACATTATGTAACCCATGATATACAAGTAGTAAAATCCATTAATGATAGGGTAAATAAGTTATCGAACATGAATCGCTTTTCTTCTTCCAATAAATCTCATAAAGAAAAATTAAGTATGAATAAAATCGTGGGAATCTATTGCTCCTCTTCTTGACTAGCAAAAGCCATGACATTGAAAATGAATTCGTCAATTCATGCTTGTTCTCTATATGTTGATTGGTTCGAAAAATCTGCCAGTTCATATAAACAGCTATGAATGTACCATTTTACATCAACATTTCTACGTCAAGTTTATATTTTAATTCTTGCTCGAGTTTAAATAGCGCTAGCTTGTTTAACGAATGAGTTGAAGAAAAGCTTATTTAGAGCCGTACAAAAAAATCTCGATATGAAAATTTGAAAAATAAAAGAGGGTCTTTGTAGTAATTTAGGAATGTCAAAGTAATTATCTCTATTCTTAACTCTGAATAATCTTTTTAGTTGAGTTTGTACATCATATTTAATGAGAGTTAGTTGTAATAGCAGAAAATAAAGAACTGGCCTGGACCGCTGGTTTGGCTGGATTGATAGGGACACTTTTTGCTTATAAAAAAAAATCACTTAAAAGTTTTTGTTTTATTTTCTTATCTTTTTCCTTGTTCACAACTGAAATATCTCTCATTCGTTGAAAATATGACATATAATTTGAACAACTTTTTACTCTGTGTTGGCTGGAAACACAAAGTGGATAACATGATTTAACTGGTTTAATGAATGAGTTGTTTGATCGTCTTTACTAAACTTTATATATTTTTCTACTCGTAAAAGTTGTGTTTTAGATAAGTAATAAAATATTTGATTTTATTGTATCTTAAGACGAGTTCATTGGAAAAATTAATTCAAATTGTTGGCAAATTTTCATAGTTTTCAAGAATCTAGGATTCTTAAAGATTCTTAAAAATGAATATTGTCAAAATCATAAATAAATGCAACAACAACAGGCAATTCGGTAGTTACAAAGTTAATTTTAGTCCTTCCTAAGCAAATCTTCTTTATATTGCAAGCTTGGAAATAGAAAAATCTATTCTAACCCACCAAAATTTGTGGCTGGCTTCTCTACTTTTGCCAACTCCATAAATGTTAGAGAGAAGAGAGAGAGTTAGAAAAATCAGCAATGAGTTTGGTCCGCTACCATATACACTCTTCTAGTAGAAGCGTCAAAATTTACTATGCTCTTTGCGCCAATTCACATAAAAGAAAAAAGAAAAGACGAAAATCCTTAAGCGTTGCTAGATAATTTTAGAGCAAATCTTCTTGGATGGCCAGTGGCCACGTCGACCCTGTCCAAACAGGAAGCCGTGGCCCTGCCCTGTCCGTCCAGGTTCATAATTTTAAGGAAAAACCTATTTGGCCAGAGTTAAATCCTGGCCTAACATTAACCCAGGCTAAACAGCACGTCTCTAATTTTAACGCCAACCGTCCCAGTTAAGTTGACACCTCTGCAAACTTTGAAGAAAAGTCTTTTTTCCATGACCAATGCTGTCAACAGTCAACACTCCGTACTTGCATACTTACATGTGCTTTAATTTGTTTCTGCAACTTGTGTGAGTCCAGCGCTCACACTCTCAATATTTCACTAAATGACAGAACATTAGCTTATCAACAACGGTTGGGTGTGTGTGTGATATGGGTGCTCTCTTATTCATTCACTCTTTCTACCAGTTCCATTCTTTATCGGTAAGTTTTTTTTATTTCTTTCTTTTTCTTTTATGTTTTCATTATGAGATTATGCATATATTTATTTGTGCATTCAGTGCATGTGCGATACTTGACAGGACTCGAGGAAATAATAAAAGATGTCAGCTTCTTTTTGTTCATTAAAACCGTTGAGTTCTATTGCGGAACATGTTGATTTCTTTCGTGGTGAATATAAAAGAACTGGTGTATGCTGACAATGGTATCTGTATGAAGTAGAAACAGCTTATTTCTGTCGAAAAACAAAAAAATTGTTGAGTGAAAAAGAAATTTTCTGATATTCAAAGATTCTAATTACTAGTTTACTGAATCAAAGCTTATGAATTCTTTGCAGAATTGAAGACAATTAGTATTAAGATCTTTGGTGGGATTGGAAAGGAAGATAAATCTATATCTAGTGTTGAAGAATCCTTTTTTTTTTCCTGAGTATTTCCGAGTATAAAAGACAAACATGGCAGGAATACTTGCCGGGGATGACCTGGCAACTTCCTTAAGCCGACGATCCTCTAGTATGAGAATCAGTTTGGCCTCGGTCAGCACGAAAAGTTGGGCTTCAGCTGGTGTTAGGGAGGCATTTACAGTCCCTGGAGGGGATGTTTTTCAGAGAAGTGGGAGAGATTATAATGATGAAGATGAGCTAATGTGGGCTGCCCTTGAGAGGCTCCCGACTTATGATCGATTGAGGAAAGGAATTATGAACCAAGTATCAGATAGTGGAAGAGTAGTTCGTGAAGAGATTGATGTTGCCAATCTTGGAACTCAGCGAAAAAAGCAACTTATGGAAAGTATATTTAAAGTTGTCGAAGAAGATAACGAGAAGTTCCTCCAGAGACTTAGAAATAGGACCGATAGGTGAGGGAAAAATATATTTAAAACTCTTAGCTAATTTTGAGTTGATAGTGTCTCAACTTCAAATTTTGGATTTGAATTTTGAATCTTTCTGATACTTTAAATAGGGTAGGAATCGATATTCCAAAGATCGAGGTCAGGTATGAGCATTTGTCGATCGAAGGAGATGCATATGTAGGATCAAGGGCACTTCCTTCTCTGCTTAATTCTACCTTGAATGTAATAGAGGTAAGTGAAATTTTTCTTAGAGCTCATTTTGAATCATATATAATTAAGATTTTCTTTCATACAGTTGGTTCATTTCAAACTTGACAAATCTTAGAACTCTAGCTTTAACCTATTTGATCAGCCAAAACTTGAGATTCTATTTTTTTCAAGGGCTAAAAGATGTTTTTGATGTACATTGATGAGATTTCCTTTCGGTTTCTTTAAAATTTTCAGGTAGACAAATTTTCAAACCTTGTTCTAATTTCGGTTGTCTGCAGGGGTTTCTCGAAAACTTGAAGCTTTCCCCTTCAAAGAAAAGGGTCGTCAAGATACTTCACGATGTCAATGGAATCGTGAAACCTTCAAGGTGTGCTTATGAAAATTTCGTAGATCCTTGACTTGAAGAGAAACGGAATAGAGTTACTCGACGTGCTAGTTTTATGATCCTAGTGCAGTATTATCTTTAACCGTTAAACTTGAAATTTGATAAGCATTTTATCACTAGAAAGTGTGCAGTATGAGTAACCGGTTGACTCATATAATCAAATTTCCTTTCCATGCTTCCTTCAAATTATTTTGTTTAGGATAACACTACTTCTTGGACCTCCGGGCTCCGGGAAAACAACATTGCTGAAGGCCCTTGCTGGAGTGCTAGACAAGGATCTAAGGGTGGGTTATTATCTCACTTTATCATTATAAATCGATTTAACTTCTCGATAACCCAAATTTCATTTTTGTTTTTTACTTTAAACTCCATCCTTAACTCCATAATGGTAATTCTTAGTTGTGTAATTAACTGTTTTCTGTAACTTGTGCGGATAGGTGACCGGAAGAATCACGTATTGTGGTCATGAAATGTCGGAATTCATGCCTCAGAGGACTTGTGCTTATATAAGCCAGCATGACCTTCATCATGGAGAGATGACAGTCCGAGAGACATTGGACTTCTCCGGGCGTTGCTTAGGAGTTGGAACCAGATATGATCTCCTTGAAGAATTGTCGAGGCGAGAAAAAGATGCAGGAATCAAACCCGACCCAGAAATTGATGCATTCATGAAAGCCACAGCAATGGCAGGCCACAAATCAAGTTTGTTCACCGATTATGTTCTCAAGGTTCGTTTCCTTTTTGTGCCAACAAGAGATTTGTGTACACTTGTCAGCCAAAATGAACCTATAAATATAATCGTTTATTTGTATCTAATAGATACTTGAATTGGATATATGTGCTGATATAATGGTGGGTGATGAAATGAGAAGAGGCATCTCCGGAGGTCAGAAGAAGCGGCTAACCACTGGTATGTGCAAAGAATCTGATAGATCACTTGGCCATATTTACTAGAGAGTAGTGGCACGACTTGACAGTACAATGAAAAAGTTCTTTTATTCTTTTCCTTGACAGTGTATATTATTCCTCAGTTTAATTTGCTTGGCACCAGCATATATATATGCATAAAAATATGTACGCGTGTGCGAGTGTGTGTTTATTCATTTATTTTTTCTTTGTGGACTCGATGCAGGAGAAATGTTGGTTGGACCAGCAAAAGTTTTCTACATGGACGAAATCTCAACTGGTTTGGACAGTTCCACCACATTCCAAATTATCAAGTATATGAAGCAGATGGTTCATATTATGGATGTAACGATGATAATCTCCCTTCTCCAACCTGCACCTGAAACTTTTGAGCTCTTCGATGACATTATCTTGCTTTCAGAAGGACAAGTTGTCTATCAAGGTCCCCGTGAAAACATCCTCGAGTTTTTTGAGAGTGTTGGATTCAAGTGCCCAGAAAGGAAAGGAGTTGCAGACTTTCTACAAGAGGTTACTTCTGTGAAGGACCAAGAGCAATACTGGTTCAAGAAGAATGAACCTTATCGATATATTTCAGTTTCTGAGTTTGTTGTTCGCTTCAGCTCTTTTCATGTTGGACTCAATCTTGTCGACAAGCTATCAATTCCTTATGATAAAACTGATACCCATCCTGCTGCTTTGGTGACTGATAAATACGGAATATCCAATCTTGAACTATTCAATGCATGCTTGGCAAGGGAATGGCTACTGATGAAACGCAACTCATTCTTGTATATATTCAAGACGTTCCAGATAACCATTATGTCAATAATAGCCTTCACGGTATTCTTTAGAACCGAGATGAAACATGGCCAATTAGTAGACGGAGGAAAATTCTACGGTGCACTGTTTTTCAGCCTCATTAATGTGATGTTTAATGGTACAGCAGAGCTTGCTCTTACCATCTTTAGACTTCCAACGTTCTTCAAACAAAGGGATTCTCTGTTTTACCCAGCTTGGGCTTTTGCTCTCCCTATTTGGCTTCTTAGGATCCCCCTCTCGGTTATGGAATCGTTGATATGGATTGTTCTTACTTATTACACTATTGGATTTGCCCCTGCTGCTAGTAGGTATGTCGAATTTTTTTTTTTTTTTTAATTGAAGGCTTGAGACGTACACATACTTGATCCTTTGTTTGCTCAGATACCATATTGAACCACCTTCTCTAGAATCATATGTTTTATTTTTAAATATTGACTTCAGTAGATCTGTTTGTTGATTTTACCATGATTTTCAACATTCATCATAAAATAATGAAAATGTGATAGCATTAGTTGATAATCAAATTGTCTTGTTCTGTTTTCAGGTTTTTCTGCCAATTACTGGCATTTTTTGCTTTGCACCAGATGGCTTTATCCCTCTTCCGTTTTATTGCTGCACTTGGAAGAACACAAGTCGTTGCAAGTACTCTTGGTACCTTTACATTGTTAGTGGTCTTTGTTCTTGGGGGTTTCATCATCGCTAAAGGTTAGTCTTATATATCTTGCCACTGTTATTCCTTTTGTTTTCATCGTCATCGTCCTTTTCTTTTGTGGGTCGTTCAACTTATTTGTTTTTCAACGGTTGTTGCAGTTTGAATTTCGGTCCCTGCCCATTGTTTAACTGAAGGAAAAGCTGATAATCTAATTAACAGCCTAGCTAGCAAATAACGAGATAGCCATGTCACATTTTCCGTTACTGAAACTAACTGATATAAACGGAATGACCAAATCTTAACAAAACTTAAGTCCACTTACCAACCTGAAAGAAACAAAATTTATTGACCAACGTAAAATTTCACTAATACCAGTGTATTTAACCCATTTAGTTTATAAAACTCTACATGTGGAAATTTTCGAAATATCAATACATTTCTTATACATGTGACACGTCAAACGAATTCTTTGAACCTGCAGATGACATTGAACCATGGATGATCTGGGGCTATTACATATCTCCTATGATGTATGGACAGAATGCCATAGCAATAAACGAATTTCTTGATAAAAGATGGAGTACTGTAAGTTCTTCTGATAGTTCATAAACCAATTTTTACTAGCTGAAATTTTCACTTTAGCATGACTAGTTATCTTTACGTGCCTCCTTTGTTTCTGCTTTTTAGCCAAACACAGATCCAAGATTTCCTGAACCTACAGTAGGAAAGGTTCTTCTTAAGGCGAGGGGCATGTTTTCTGATGGCTATATGTACTGGATATGTGTCCTTGCACTCTTTGGATTTTCGGTTCTCTTCAATATTTGCTTTATCATAGCATTGACGTACTTGAATCGTGAGATATGACTTTGCTTATTCACGTTCTTGAGAATTCTGAATTATTCTGGCTTTAACTGCTTATTGTAAACCCTATGCAGCTTTTGGAGATTCTAAATCCGTTATCTCGGATGAGGATAACAAACCGAAGAAAAAGAAGAATCCATATTCCACTTCGATGGCTGAAGGTTTGAGACCATATCTGCCATATATTTGGTTTTGAAATATCAGTGTCACAAGATCCTCTTGATGTGCTTGCATGATCTTGATATACACAAAGGAACAGCTGTGTAAATCAAACCGTTTGTAGAAAAATAGACGTCGGGATTTCTTTTTGTTCTTTTCAAAGGAATGAATTCTTCTTCATGGCACATGAAATAAGTTCTCAATTAGTTGCAGTTTCTGAATGTAGCGCTTCTTAAATCCAGTGCCATCGAAACGAGTAACAATGTGTTCTTCCTAATATTTCTTTACATTTGTTTTGCATTAAAGCGTGTTTGGGTGGGCTTTAAAGTCGCTTTTTTAGTATGTCGTACATACTTTCAGAATAAGTAACTGGTTACTTTCAAGCACACAACCAAATATACTCTCTCTGCTCATAACATCCTTTAACGAAGCCTCGTATTCACTGGGTACTGTTGACAGTCAAGCAAAGTATGGTTCTGCATGCTGCTACCTTTTTTTTCTTCCCCTTTTGACAAATATGAATGGTTCAGGTATAGATATGGCTGTAAGGAACAAGTCGAGAGGAAAAAAATCGGAAGAGAATGGGAGCAGAAGACGTGGAATGGTGCTTCCTTTTACTTCCTTGTCACTAGCATTTGATCATGTGAACTACTATGTCGATATGCCCACTGTAAGTCACACTGCGATTTTAGATGCATCCTTCTCTTGATGGATCCAAGTCGGAACCTTACGAATTATGGCATGTTCACCAGGAAATGAAAAGGCAAGGAATTGAAGATGCTCGTCTTCAACTCTTGAGAGATGTCAGTGGTGTTTTCAGGCCTGGGTTTCTAACAGCATTAGTCGGTGTAAGTGGTGCAGGAAAGACAACCTTGATGGATGTCTTGGCAGGAAGAAAAACAGGTGGATATATTGAAGGAAGTATCATCATTTCTGGTTATCCGAAGAATCAATCAACGTTTGCTCGCGTCAGTGGTTACTGTGAACAGAATGATATTCATTCTCCACATGTCACTGTTTATGAGTCGATTGTTTATTCTGCTTGGTTGCGTCTTTCTCCAGACATAAAGAAGGAAACACGAAAGGTGTGTCAGTTTGCACTTGGCTCTTGATCCCATTATTACTTTAATTGTTTAATCTAATATTTTTACTTTAGATGTTTGTTGAAGAAGTGATGGAGTTGGTCGAGTTGAATCCCGTAAGAGATGCTTTAGTTGGCCTTCCCGGAGTAGATGGTCTGTCGACTGAACAGAGAAAGAGACTTACCATAGCCGTAGAACTGGTTGCTAATCCATCCATAATCTTCATGGACGAACCCACGTCAGGTCTTGACGCGAGGGCTGCTGCAATTGTGATGCGAACTGTGAGAAACACTGTCAATACTGGGCGAACTGTTGTGTGCACAATTCACCAACCGAGCATCGATATTTTTGAATCTTTTGATGAGGTTGTTAACCATATCAATGTGGAATTTTCGAATTTATAGCAAGTCACTTTTCTTATCAAATTATATTGTCATCTTCTCTATAGTTATTGTTGATGAAGAGAGGAGGTCAAGTTATTTATGCTGGACCTCTTGGTCATCATTCGTCTCAGTTAATAGAATATTTTCAAGTAAGTATACCGTGTAATTTTAGATACGGAACATATAGTACACAACATTGGATAGTATTACACACTACAATAAAACTTCCTCTCCTATCCTGCCAAGTGCGGTCTAATCCATGTTACCTTGTTTTACTTGGAACTAAACGTGCCTTGTTTTTCCAGTCCATTCCCGGCGTTCCTAAACTCAAAAAAGGTCATAATCCTGCCACTTGGATGTTGGAGATCAGCACTCCTGCAGTCGAGGCTCAACTTGACATCGACTTCACAGAAATTTATGTCAACTCGGATCTTTACAGGTAAAAAATGTTAAAATATGGAAAGATTTCCATAATATCAATGATTTTTAGATCTTGTTTTATTATTCTCTTTCTCTCAGGAGGAATCAAGAACGTATCAAATTACTAAGCACCCCAGCTCCAAGATCCCAGGACCTCTACTTTCCTACCAAATATGCCCAGTCCTTCATTTCTCAGTGTAAAGCTTGCTTCTGGAAACAACGCTTGTCTTACTGGAGACATCCACAATACAATGCCATCAGGTTTTTCATGACAACGGTTATCGGGATTATATTTGGAGTAATTTTCTGGAAAAAGGGAGAGAAAATGTAAGTTGTCTATTTCAAGTTCCTTAACAAACATTGGGACAAGAGCTCTATCTTCTCCACTGACGTGTTAATGTCTTGCACACAATTTGTAGTTTTGTTTAAAAGCTTAAGTTGTTAGAGAGTTATATATCATGTTCGACCACTTTATCTCAAAGCTTACGTTGCTAAAGATTGAGTAGACACATTTATTTGTTTAAATTTCACCTTCAACAAAATTATTATTCTAATAGGTCTAAACAACAAGATCTAATGAATCTGGTTGGAGCTATGTATGCTGCTGTAATGTTTCTTGGAGGAACAAATACTTCTTCCGTGCAATCAGTTGTGGCAGTTGAAAGAACTGTCTTCTATCGGGAAAAGGCAGCCGGGATGTATTCAGCATTACCTTATGCATTTGCTCAGGTACGCAAAACAAAAATATTAAATAAAGTTACATGTTCAGAAGGAAAGTTAAGATTTAGTTTTTTTTTTTTGCAATAAAAGTAACTCTAAAAATCATATTTGACAAATTGAGTTTTCTTTTAACGTGCTATTAGTTTCACTTTTGAATCTTTTAATCCCAATTTGTTTACAATTAATCGACCTTTCTGTTTCTTTATCCCCTCAGGTGGCTATAGAAACCATTTATGTTGCTATCCAGACTTTCATATATAGCCTTCTTCTCTACTCTATGATTGGCTTCCACTGGCGAGCAGACAAATTCTTCTGGTTCTATTTTTATATATTTATGTGCTTCGTCTACTTCACATTGTATGGGATGATGCTTGTAGCACTCACTCCAAGTTACCCCATTGCTGCAATCGTCATGTCTTTCTTCCTCAGCTTCTGGAATCTGTTCTCTGGTTTTCTTATTCCAAGAACGGTACGTAAATCGAGAAGCATTCGAACTTATATTAAACATTTTTCAGTCTCTATGTGCTATGTAGAATAGAGAAGGAAACTTAAATCTACTTGTAAACAATAATTATGTGTATAATTCATAAAGCCAGATGTATATTTCTAGGTAACTAAAGTTGATTCATAAATGGTTTTATAGCGTGATATAATTCTTCAAAAAAGTTTTTAACTTCTTTTTCTTCATTAATCCCATGCTGCCGTGTGGTATAATCCAACAGACCAAACGTACATTTAAGTGGTCGCTATGGTTGATTTCAAATATTATTAATTTTGTGGGGTGAAGAATAATTTATTTTCAGACAAAAGAAAAATCATCTGCACTGAAAAGACTGGAGTTCCCAAATTACTATTCAATTTTGAGGCTATTAGGATTGCTAGAAGTAGAATGTTTTCAATCTGAGTTCTGGCGATTAAAACATTAATATGGTTGCATAGGAACAGAGTTTGGAAAAGATAAATGGTTTCCATAGGTGTGTGAAATGCCCATCCAGTGGTCAGTAGACAGATAGACGGGATAAATAAAGGAAAGAAGTTAAAATGTTGTGGGTCGAGAAAAAAATCTAATAATATTTTTGATTATATGACATTTGCAGCAAATTCCTATATGGTGGAGGTGGTATTATTGGGGTTCTCCAGTAGCTTGGACAATATATGGGCTTGTGACATCTCAAGTAGGAGACAAGACAGAATCAGTTCAGGTACCAGGTTTAGGTGATATTCCATTGAAGCAATACCTTCAAGAATTCCTAGGTTTCAAATATAGCTTTCTAGGAGCAGTTGCTGCAGCCCATGTTGGGTGGTCACTTCTATTCTGCATTGTCTTTGCATATGGCATCAAGTACCTCAACTTCCAAAGGAGATAGAGGGAGGGAGAAATCTTCAAGTATATTACTAAAATTCTCAATGTATTCCATTTCGATTAATGCTGCTAAAGAAACGTGCAATTTCAAGATTTGACTTTCTCGGAGCAGTTGCTGCAGCCTGCGTATTTCGAATTTCTTAACCTATTATAGAAAGATGTGCAACTTTTTAATGACTTACTTGTAGTTTATAAAATAAGAAAAGAGAAGATAACAACTGTGTGTATATCAGTTTGTATATCATTTTTCTGTAAATTGTTTATGCAAGTGAGGTATTTGATGTGAATGTGAATATAAAATAAATTGTTTCCATATTTTCAACTTTAGTTTATTTCCATTTTGTGTTTTTATGTTACAATTTCTATTATTATTGTTGTACCTACTCTTTTTGTTGCATCGACTTAAATTTTTCAAATTTGAACTGTTTCTCCATACCAATTACCTGTTTTCATCAATGGTTGAGAAACAAATTCGTTGTGATTTTAGTTAATTCTCTAGTGACTAGTCTTAGCAAGAATGTCCAGAGAAGCAGGAGGACATTAGATAGACCTAAGCAACAATTTGAGCAAATCCAAATGATTTTGAAGAGTATTTGAGATAGAAACAATAAAATTACTGTATCAGTTTGAAACATAAAGCAATAATTCCCAACTAGCATTCCCTCAAGCTGAAGTGTTTTGTTTGTGATGTGATTCTACACATTATAGACTCAAGAACAGTGGCGACTCTATAAATGGAATGAACAGAATTAATATGGTTGTCAAACGTGTCAATAGCTAATAATAGGATTCAGAGTCGAGCATGAGGGACTGAACTTTAAAGAATTACAATTTTTCTGTTCATCTGTTCGTCTTTCTTAATCTTGTCTAATTATGTCTATTTCAATGGATGGTCGTACCATTTACATCTACAGTCTCTTTATGCAATACGTACTATATCCCAATGGCAAACACACTGCTATGAAACAACAATCGAGGTACCTTTTTCTACTCTTCAACTTGGCATCAGAAATCAGAAATTTGGTAGGCCTCCTCGACTGGGAAGATTTGTAGACGGGGCTCCATTGCACCACTATTGACGGCATCTGTTGGGTCATTGCCTCCTTGACTGGTCATTGGTAGGCAGTGGATCCATTGCACCACCATTGGCGGAGGCCATCATGTTGGAGCCACCATGACTAGGAACACTGATGGGCGGAGGCTGATCAATAATGTCGAGACGCTTGTAATAGTTTCTTGAGATAGCGCTCCAAGTTCTTGATGAGGGCCGGAAAGGTCATTGATGTTAGTGTAACTAAAAGATCAAATGTCAATGTCTTCTGTAGTAGTTTGTCATTATTTGTAAAATATAAATTCATACTAACAAAATAGGAAGATTTTCACAAAATCAATCAAAGAAACACGTAATAAAATTAACATCAAGAAATGATAGAAAATATTTTGAGCAAATATAAAAATTAACGTCAAGAAATTAATGATATAAAGGAACCCGCTACAAAAACTGACAGCGATGAATACACTCATATTTATGCTTGTATGTATGTAAGTAATACCTGTGTTCTTCTTCGATCCAATGGTAACTCTGGTTGTTGACAACTTCACTACTCGACCTGGAAGAAAGCTTACTAGAGTCATCAGATTGAACCGAAGCCTCGATATGCCCTAAAGAAATCTCGGTGTCAATCGGATGATCGATCGGGTCTGCATTCGCTTCATTATAAGGTACATCAAGGAGTATAGAATCCACAAATAAATCCTCAAAATGAGCCTTGATATCGTGCGGAGACTTCCCCGGCACCTGACCGGCTATCTTTTCCCAGCGATTGTCATCCTCTTCCGGGAACTCTTTTAGAGCATCCTCGTAAAGCTTGTCATCGTCCGGATTCCAAGTCATCTCCGGCACTGACTTATCGCTCTGATTATCTATCACTTCACAATTGGATCAGTTTTGATACAATGCGCTTTTCCTTCTTTTGGTTTTGATCGTTGGGTAATTCTGCGAGAAGGTTTTGAGAGATATTCGCAGGGTTTTATAGGTAAAAGTTTTAACAGAAAGAGGTTTTAGTAGCGGGAAAAAAAACTACCTTTATTCTTTAAATCTAACTTCTTTTGTGAACATGTCTTAACTATTTGTCCATTGCATTTCATAACTGGTTCGATCCTAGAGTCCATTTCAGTTTATGAATTTCTTGATACACAAGGAGAGACGGAAAAAAGAAGAAAAATATATGCACCGCCCGGTTTCTTGCCAACTTAACCTATGAGGTAAGATTGGTCAAATATGTATGTTGAGTCTTATCTAATTCTGTGTTTGATCGAACATATCCCAGGTGGTTTCCTCTTGACGTTTAGCATTATTAAAGTTTAAATTATCATTAACTTCAATAAGTGATAGATCATATCATGTAAGACGAGGAACATACTACAACTATAATATTCAATAAGAGATGTAATTTTGTATATTTAAGACATTGAGAATGGTGTATAAGAATGTCAATAGCTAATAATAGGAGGAACAAACTTCAATGACATTTTGTACAATATTGTATAAATAATTACTAACAACTTTTGACACGACTGCTCTCTTTTTGATATCGTCATTCTATTTACGTCTAAACTCTTATATTCACGTAATACAAAAATATCGAAGTAGCAAAGACACGAAGCTATGAAACAACAGTTTAGTTACTTTTTTCTATTCTTCATCTTGGAATTGGAAATTTAAATTTTGTGTTGGCCTGAATGGGAAGATTGGTGGGTGGAAGGCTCCATTTCTACCTCATTGAGAGTGGACTTATTGTCATAGCCAACATTACTAGGAAAATTGGTGAGCGGAGGCACCAGTGCACCACCATTGATGGCATCTGTAGTATTGTAGCCACCGTGACTAGGGGACACTGGTGGGCGGAGGCTGTATTTCACCACCATTCACGGTTTCCATCCAGTCATAATCACCGTGACTAGGAAAATTGATGTACGGAGGCAACCATTGCACCACCGTTTACATTGGCCATCAAGTTGTAGCCTCCATCACTAAGAAAATTGGTTGGTGGAGGCACCATTGCACCCCCATTGACGGTGGACTCCATATTGTAGCCACCACGACTAGGAAAATCGATGGACGGAGGCACCATTGCATCATTTTCATTGGCCGTCAAGTTGTAGCCACCATCACTAAAAAAATTGGTAGACGGAGGCACCATTGCACCTCCATTAACAGTTGACTCCATATTGTAGCAAACATGAGTAGGGAAATTGGTCTGAGGAGACACCGTTACTCCACCATTGACAGCATCTGTCATGTTGTAGCCACCATGACTAGGAAAATTGGTGAGCGGAGGCAAAATTATTACACCTCCGTTGACGGCATCTGTCGTATTGTAGTAACCATTGGTGGGC